GTGATCCTGGACCACAAAACCAGTCATAAGGGTCAATTTTTTGAATTGCATTGATGTATGGTTCCATTGATGTATGGTTTATTAGGATCGGACAATATTTGGCTACAACTATTATACAACTATTTGAATATCTGGAATCTGACCCAGCGACTTAAGACTGGTTTTGTGGTCCAGGGTCACATATATAATCTTTATCATCTTTAATTAGATTTCCTTTCCTGCACCTATTTCATTGTTCATCTGTCAGATCATAGGGGCATTTTATGCATCATATTCCAAAAAAAGCATCTTTAATACTGGTTTCTTAAATATCCATGATTCACTGGCTGTGCATCTGCAGCGTACAGTTTTACCACCTTAACAGCTGTTTTGTTTCAAAGGTAAATATAAAAGCCCGTTGGAGAATGCATGATTGCCTGTCATAAATGTTAATTGAATACATCTGTGTAGTTTGCTCTGCCCATGAGCTGTTGTGTTTTGCATGCATAACATCATGGCTCGGCCACTGGGTAAAAGTGCTAAACCACAAAACTCCACCTTAGCGTTAGTCCTTTTGTCATTTGCACAATGTATTTTTGTATTGCATGAAAGCTGGTAGAACCTTTTTTTATTATGTGACAAATGTGGAAGTTCAATACTTACTGTGTAATGCTGTAGCTGCACTTCTGAACGGAAGCGTAAAGAAACGTAAGCGTTGTAAGCCTTGAGGCTGTATAAGGGCACAAAGGTCAGCTGTGAAACAGAAAGCCGCCTCTACTGTACGTCTTTGACACTGACACTGTATAGTTACATTCTATACCTCAGAGGCTTTGAGCAGAGCACGGGTTTGGTGAAAAATTATCATTATTAAGTCCTCTCTGGCCTACAATATCTGTTTCGAAAGACAAATCTTGTCAATGCCACTCCCTCTTCTTCCTTTGGAAGTGTGTCTCTGCCCTGAGGTCTTGAAATGCTCCTTTCTCATTTTCTGGTCAGATTTGTCTCGTAATCCATCTGTTCATCTGTGTTGCTTTGTAGAGGTTTACTAATGAGGACCACCTGGCTGTCCATAAACACAAACATGAAATGACGCTGAAGTTTGGACCCGCTAGAACTGACTCAGTCATCATTGCAGGTACTTTGCACGCAGACAGTGTGAAGGCACAGTGCACAGTTATCAAAAATATAATTTTTATATATAATTATATACACATGTCAGTATGTGTGTGTGTGTGTGTGTGTGCGCGTTTTTGTGACAAATGAGGACATACATTTGTATAATGACAAGGGTATGACATAGGTATTACAAGCAGAAGGTGACTTTTCAGGACATTACCCCATGTCCCCACTTTTCAAAACGCATATAAATCACACAGAATGGAGTGTATTGAAAATCTGAAATAGCACAAAGTTTCCTGTGAGGGGTAGGTTTAGGGGTAGGGTTGGTGAAGGGCAATAGAATATATGGTCTGTACAGTATAAAAACCATTACGCCTATGGGATGTCCCCACTTTTCACAAAAACAAACCTGTGTGTGTGTATATGTATATGTATATGTATATATACATACATATAATTTAATTATATCATTAATTAATATTATATCATTAATTATATCATATAATATTAATGTATTAATTAAAATTATTATTTATAAATTATTTATAAATCACATTATCCCTTACATAACATATATATAACTAATAGTATAATTAATTGCGCTATATATTATTATTATTATTATTTTATATTAAATTATAACATATATAATTTATATTATATATATAATATATGTGCGTGCTGTCAAACGATTAATCACATCCAAAATAAAAGTTTTTGTTTACATAAATATATGTATGTGTACTGTGTATATTTATTACGTATATATAAATACACACACATACAGTATATTTTTAAAATATTTACTTATATATATATATACATTTATACATTTATATATTCTTATATTTTATATTATATATAAATATATTTAATATATAAACAACACATTTTCTTAAATATATACATGCATGTGTGTGTATTTATATATACATAATAAATATACACAGTATACACACATATATTATGTAAACAAAAAC